GTGGCACACACATAAAAACACAGAAGAACGAAGCTTTTGCTTCCTGCCTGCTTTGTCTCACACTTGCTGGCAAGTCCATCTATCTTGAAGTGGAGGCATGCTTTGCTGGTATTAGAACTTCAGGATTCCAGTATAGACTGAAGACTGGGTGAGACATCCAGACTCATGGATTGAACAACTACCAGATTCTTGGCCTTTTCTTCAGGAGACAGCCGTTGTTGGACTAGCTCGACCATAACTTGTAAGCCACTCTAATAAATCCCCTCTTAAAATGTATAGATTTATTCTATCATTTCTGCTTCTCTAGAGGACCCTGACTCATACAGATTGTGGTACCAGGAATGGAGTTCTACTGTGACAGGCCTGACCACGATGTTTTTTGGAGACCTTGGTCTAGGAAAGTGGTTGACTGCTGTAAGCATGGTTTAGGGGGACACACTAGCAGGAGCTTGGAATACAGTTGTGCTGGGAGCAGTGTGAACTATAGAGGCTCAGCTCAAGAAGTTTCAGGTGGGAATATATTAGCAACTGGCTGGAGACCATTCTTGTCATATTTTGACAACGAATATGGCTGCTTTTTTCCCTGGTCCTAAAAATTTCCCTGAAAATTGAAAAAAGTAATGGACTAGTTTCCTTGGCAGAGGAGATTTCAAGACAGCCTAATCTGGCACTGTTTTATACAGGTCTACAATGAAAAAAGAACAAGCAAGATATACAGAATGTACAATGGGCGGATAGCAAGGGCGCCAGGAAATGTACTGTTGGAGCCAAAGCTTGTGCTGAAAGAGATAAGAAGGGGTGCCATGTGAAATGGAATAAGGGAGTAGGACCCTCAGGGCAAGACATTGTGGATCCTGCTCTTGTGGATCTATGGCTTTCTGGGAACAGAGACATCCAACAAGGGGTTCGGAAGCTCTGTGGGTATGTCACTGGGACCAGTAATCAGTAGGCAGATCAATTTACTTAGGGTGATTGAAGAACTGAGGGTAGAGACATCTAGGATGGGGTACGGTCATTGGCTGGGGGCTTAGGATACCTGGAGTGCCACATTGGCATGGGGAAAGATTTCAGGACTCTCAGGTGTTGGCTGAATAGGTTTTGTCAGGAGAAAGGACATTGGTCCTCGAATCAAGCTAAGGCTACATGATATTCCTCAGGTAGGGGATTTTGAACTCCCTAGACAAGGTCAGAAAAGGAGAAGACTGGCTAATGAAGGGAGTCTTCCATGTTGTGCTGAGTCCAGAGGCTATCCTGTCATGGTCAACTTCAACGACTTCAACCTTAATTAGCAGAGTTTTCCCACAAGACACTAGCTAGATAATCCTGCAATTTGTGAAAGAAAAAGGCTTGAAAAAGGCTTCCCTAGGAACAACAATAAATTTACTTCTGCAAATGTAACTCAAGGAGGGGCCAGGCTCCAACCCAAGCAGATAGCCAAACATGGCAGCTTCCATCATGTATTGGCTTTAGCTTCATCAAGGATACATTTAAGTGTAATGGTTTGAATAGGAATGGTGCCCACAGTCTCCTGTGTTTGAATGCTTGGCCATAGGGAGTGGCACTATCAGAAGGTGTGGCCTTGTTGGAGGAAGTGTGTCACTGTAGGGGTGGGCTTTGATGTTATGTATGCTCAAGCCATGCCCAGTGTGCACACAGTCTCCTGCTGCCTGGGGATCAGGACGTAAAACTCTCAGCTCTTCCAGCTCCACACCTGCCTCCATGCTGCCATGCTTCTCACCATGATGATAATGGACTGAACCTATAAAACTATAAGCCAGTCCTAATGAAATGTTTTCCTTTTTAAGAGTTACCTCGGTCATGGTATCTCTTCACAGCAATGAAACCCTAAGACAATGAGTAAGGGGGTTGTGGAATCTTTCTCAATGGATAAGGAGAGCTGCTGAGACCAGGTATGTGGTGAAGGGAATTCTCATATGGAGTCCCAGAGATGCCACTGTGAAGATGTGAATATGAAATCTGTATTCTGCAAGTGACTCCATAATGTTGGAGGGGTACCCAAAGCTGTGGGGTGTCTTTCAGGAAGAGCTAAAGACAGGGAGTAGAACCAGCCGAAGAGAGAGAAGTGTGTTGCTGTCAACAAAGCTGGAGAGCAAAGCCATCTGAGGCCCTTGACATCAGACTTGCAGTTCCAGGATTGGAAGTTTGCTCTGCAGGATTTTGGTATTGCTTTGGTCCAGTAGTCCCTCACTCTGCCCCCATTCCTCCCTTTTGGAATGGTAATGTATATGTGTACAAATGTATGTTGGAAGTATATGATTTGCTTTTTGATTATACAAAAGGTTACAATTAAGAGGTTGCCTCAAGTTTCAGAAGAGACTATGGACTTGTACACTCTGTTGAGACTGAACGACTATAAGGACTTTGAATGCATTTTCTGTTATGACATTGCCAGGAGCCTGTAAAGGCTAGGGAATGAAATGTGGTAGTTTGAAGAAGAATGGTCCCTGTAGGCTCATATATTCGAATGCTTGGTCCCCAGTTGGTGGGGCTGTTTAGGAAGGATTAGGACAAGTGGCCTTGTTGGAAGAGGTGTGTGACTCAGGGTGAGCTTTGAGTTTTCAAAAGTCCACATCATTCCCAGTTAGCTTTCTCTGTCTTGTGCTTGTGGGTCAGGAAGCAATCTCTCAGCTAAATGCCTCAGTGGCATGCCTGTCTACCTGTTGCCATGATCCCCCCAGTGATGGTCACGGACTCTAGCCTTCTGCAAGAATGAGCCCCAAATTAAATGTTTCCTTTTATAAGTCGCCTTCATCACAGTGTTTTGTCATACCAATAGAAAAATGGCGAAGACAGACATTGACATGATTTGAAGCTGAGTTGTACATTACATTCTATACATTAAGCTATACATGAAGGTGAAGAAGGTCTATCTATCTTCACTACTAAGATGTGATCTTTAGAAAGGTAGTTCAAAACATCTACACTGGTGTCTCTGTAGTCTAGTCTCTTTTCTTGAGCACCGAGAAATCATCTAAAGCACTATGTACATGACCAATTCCCTTCAGAACTGATAAATGCTCTGAGGAGAATAGATTCTAATACCAGGTCCCCCTCCCTCTTTGGTCCATGTTTCTCTCCATCACTGCCCCTGTAAGTCTACACAACTCTGTTGACTTCTTCACAAAGAAGAAAACAAACTGAGATAGAAGTCAGTGGCAGAGTTGTTGCCTAGCATAAAAGGGTTTGCTCCCCAGCACCGCTTAGCCTCCCATCATTGGCTATAAAACCCCTTGATTCTTTCCAGTGGTAGAGGTTTGTCCGGTATGTGTAAGATTCTGAGTAATACACACAGACACACACACTCACACAGTCCCAACACTAAAATAAATGCTCAATTTCTAAGATAACCCTGCTTTAAGCATGATGTACAGTCTTTAAAAATTTAGCACCAGGGGACTGGTGCCATACCTCAGTGGTTAAGAATATTGGCTGTTCTTGCAAAGGACTGGGGGTTCAATTCCTGGTACCCACATGGAAACTTAAAACTGTGTGTAAATCCACTCTCAGGCAATTTGACGCCCAGCAAAACACACATGTGCATACAAAGAAACAAACAAATAAGCAAGTAAATAAATAAACCTTGAAGTACAGTGCTGCATGCTGCCTTTGGATTATTAGCAGTTTAGGTTCCAAGTGCTGAGTGAGGTTGGCTTGTGGTTTTTCTTTTTCATTCCTTGTTTTGACTTCATAAAAGAAGTTGATGTTTTAGGTGTCTCTTTTGGTTTCTTAAACATTCTTTCTATAACTTCCAGGAAAGACTATATATAGAATGGTGCTAATTCCCCTGAAACCATCGGTGCTTTGCTGACATAGCCATCTGGACCTGGTATTTTCTTTTTGGGAAAATTTTAATCAGAGACTCAACTTCACCTGATTCTTCAGAATGGCTGTTTTGGCTACGAGTGTAAAAATGTTAAATATGCTTGGTAGATGTCAAGTTCTTATTTTTCTCTGTTTATGATTTTTAATATTAAGATACATTTTTAATTTTTTTTATTTAAAAAGAACAATTGAGGGCTGGAGAGATGGCTCAGTGGTTAAGAGCACTGACTGCTCTTCCAGAGGACCTGAGTTCAACTCCCAGCAACTACATGGTGGCTCACAACCATCTGTAATGGGATCCAATGCCTTCTTCTGGTATGTCTGAAGACAGCTACAGTGTACTCATATAAATAAAAAAAAAGAAAAAAAAGAAAAAAGAAAAAAAAATTGAGACTTGGTTCAGCTGAGTTGCCGAGACTGGCCTTAAAAATTCAACCCTTCTGACTAGCTGGGATTAGTCATGCACTATTATCTGGTATCATGGATCTCAAATGCATTTAAAACATTTTTTCTACAGAATACATGTATAAAAACGTGCACAAACTAAGTGCTCAGCTCATTAACCTCTCACTAAGTAAACTCATAATATGCCTGTCATCCAGCTTAAGAAAAAGATAGGCCCCTAGATAACGTCACAGATGAATGCTTTTAGAAATCTGGCTGTAGAATCTTACTTGGTGTGCCTCTAACCTTGCGCTGTGATGATGTAGACATCTCATCCCATATGAGGCTAAAAGCTACTACAGGGCAGATCTCCAGCTGTGTGTTAGCTTCTCTGTAGGAAGGTTATCCAGCTTTGGGGCAGTGATCGAGGTCTCCACTCAGGCACTGGGGCCACACACTCAGACTTCCATCTACCCTGCAGACACAGCCCACGGTGGAGGTGGGCGAAATCCAGCTCACAACCTGCCTAGCAAGCACAGAGAGCATTCACTTCTGCCTAGGAACAGCGTGTAGTGTAGTCCCAGTCTCTGACCTCAGTGATAACGCGTAGGCACCTTATACTTCAGAAACTAGCAGAAAACACCGCACATAGACTTCTGAGCCCCTGCCACACCCCTGAGGCAACCCTCACTCCACAGGGACGATGCTGAGCTATTGTTCAGCCCCTAGAGGGGAGGACTGCATCTTAACCAGCTGTCTCTGCTCTCCCACAGGCCCTGCCATCCCTGTAGGTGTGGACGTGCAGGTGGAGAGTCTGGACAGCATCTCCGAAGTGGACATGGTAGGCACTGCCCCAGGCTGGCTTCAGGGAGGGATCACATTGCTGAGATCATGGGAGCCTCTGGGGTGCAGGTCGTGGCTGCGAAGTCAGAAGGTCACCAGATTGGGTCTTGGAAGCTGGCCAAGGAACAGCAGCCTCTAGAGCAGGGTTATTGTTTCCACTGCGATTATTGTTGGCTGGGGGCTGGGGCCTTTTGAAGGCATGCTGGAGGTAATATAAACAAGGGGCCCAATGAATCACACTGGGAGGAGTGACAGAGACGGGCATTTTGATTGTAAACCTTCAGTGCTGTGATTTTTCCATCTTTGTGTGAGCACCGCTCCCCCTCATCCCGCCCCCCCCAGCAGCCTCACCCCCACCCCACCCTCCACATCCGTACCCATCTTTTGACTCTTGTGGTGGCTCCCTCGCCTTGAAGGGGAGAGTGACCTTCCATGCCTTCAGTCCTCTCTGTGTTCTGTGCACTGCTCTTTACAAACTTCCTCCGCATGTGGCCTTCCTCTGGTCCTCCCAGGAGGCTTCTGTCTTATCCTTTAGCAGTTCACCCAAGGACATGGCCTGGGTGTTCTGTGTTTCCTTCATAACTAACACAATCAGCTCTTGTTCTGCTATGGATTTATTTTGGAGTGAGCTTCCCTCCATCCCTCCCTCCTCTCCTCCCTCCTCCTTTCATCCCTCCCTTCCCTCCTCTTCCTCAGCCCCATCCTTGTTCCTTGGATTGATGTGGGAAGACTGGGTGGCATCAATCCTGGGCAGGTGGTCCTAGGGTGCATAAGAAAGCAGCCTGAAGCTGGACATGGTGGCATATGCCTTTAATGCCACCAATCAGGAGGCAGAGGCAGGCGGATCTCTATGAGGCCATCCTGAACCACACAAGGAGAGCCTGTCTCCAAAGAAGAAAGAAGAAATCTGGTAAGCAATGCCCCTCCATAGTTTCTGCTTCAGTTTCTGCCTGTGGGTTCCTGCCTTGAGTTCCTGCCCCGATTTTCCTCAGTGATGGGCTGTTGCCTGGAAGTGTAAGCTAAATAAACCCTTTCCTCCATAAGTTGCTTTAGAACATGGTGTTTAATCACAGCAATAGAAACCCTAGGATACCACGCTGGTCACTTCTCTTTAGAATATCGATCTGAAGCCATGCAGATGGCTCTTCATACCTGGAATTGGTATGTCCCTGTGGCCTAGGGAAGTCAGGCTGGCCTCAGACCCAGCTGAACCCAGCTGGTGAATACTCAGAGAGTCTGGCAGGCTGTGCTCCAGTATCCTGGAGACCTCCACACCTGCACTGTCCACGCCTAGATCCTTGCCAGGAGCTAGAGCTCTGAGGAGTAAACAGCTCATACTTTCTCAGCTATGCTGTTCTGAGTCAATCCAGGGGAGGACTGGGGACTCAGTGGCAGAGAGTCTGCTTACAAGTACATGGCCCTGGATTTGCTTCCTCGGATTGCTGGGATCAAAGGCCTCTGCCTCCTGATTGGTGGCACTAAAGGCATATGCCACCATGTCCAGCTTCAGGCTGCTTTCTTACATACCCTAAGACCACCTGCCCAGGATTGGCACCACCCACAACGAGCCAGCCCCTCCCACATCAATCCTTAATCAAGAAAATGCCCTACAGACTTGTCAGTAGACTGTTTGATGGAGGCCTTTTCTCCATTGGGGTTCCTCTTCCAAGATGATTCTAGCTTGTGTCAAGTTGACAGAGAACCAACCAGGACACATGGCTTGCCCTGCTTTGAGAATCTACAACCACTGGGAAAGCAGGATTCCAGCAAAAAGAAAGGAGCAGGCAGAGACCATACAAGCTGGCCACACACAGCTGGTATTTGAGAACCTGCAATGTGACACTCCTACCCTACTCCCTGGTGTCCCTCAGAACATGCTTTCCTCTCCAGAGAGGCATTTGGCTGGTCCCTTCCCAGTCATCATAGCTACTGTTTTTGTATGTGGAAGAGGAGTTAGGGCCAGTGCTGATACACGGGTAACTAGGTTAGTCTAGAAATGGACTCATGTAGACCTAATCTTGGATTTCTCCTTCACTGCTGGAGTGTTCTCTTCACTTGCCACCCTCTCTTCTTCATCTTTTGGGAAGTTATTCCCCCATAATTAAGTCTTAGCTCTAGCTTATGTCCAAAGGCCCAACTCTGGGTTTAAAGCATCAGTTATACAGGTGAGGAGACACACTTTTAACAAGGTAAGAGCCCCAGGCTGAACACACAGTAAGTGTGCAGTATCTCCCCAGATTTCCATTGAAAGAATATCTTTAATGGTGCTGGTGACTGAGCCTAAGAGCTTGCATGAGTCATGCTTTTTGTTACATATTCTGTGCTGAACTAACCATGTGATATGAAACTTCCCACACCTTTAAAGGGTTATTAGATGTCGAATCTTTCCTCTGCTCAGGGGATTGGTTTGAGGTTTAGAGGGAGACTGTTCCGAAGGTTGCCTTGAAGGATGCCATCTGATGAGGCTCCTTTTCCACCATCCCTCCCTCCCTCCCTCCCTCCTTCCCTCCCTCCCTCCCCCTTTCTCATTCTTCTGCTTTTAGAAATTTATTTGTTATGTATATTGATGTTTTGCTTGCATTTATGTCTGTGTGAGTGTGTCAGATCCCTGGAACAGGAGTTATAGACAGTTGTGAGCTGCCATGTAGGTGCTGGGAATTGAACCGTGGTCCTCTGGAAGAGTAGCCAGTGCTCTTAACCACTGAGCCACCTCTCCAGCCTCCTTATTCTTACTCTTGAAGAACCTGTCCAGGTTTCAAAGGGAAGCCTCCCCTTCCCCTTCAGGCCCCACCATGTCTGGATCTCCATTTATTGTACTGTTTCTGTCTGACACTCTTACTCCAACCTTGAGTCTCAGTCATGGCCCTGAGGCCCAATTTAAATTCAATTCACTGAAAGGAATCGTCACACCTTTCTTTCCAAGCTGGTGCTCCTCTTCCATTAAAGTAAAACCCAATGTGTACAGGGAACTAGTTCAGAAGGCCAGGGCTTTGGAAGCAGTGCACCCTGCTGGGCTGTGGCCAGGCTGTGGCTCCATAGCTCGGATTTCAGTTGCAAATGTGAGCCACCTTCTTCCCGACTGCCACAGCATCACTATGTTGGCTGGCCTTTATGCTCAGGACTGCAGGGCTGTCACTCTGAGTCTGGAAGTAGGATCTGGGGTATTCTGAAGTGGATCCATTTCAGGGAGGGATGTGCTCTAAGCCTTTCTATCTAAAGCACTTCTGGCTTCTTCCCTGGCTCCCAGGACTTCACCATGACCCTGTACCTGAGGCATTACTGGAGGGATGAGAGGCTGGCCTTCCCTAGCAGCAGCAACAAGAGCATGACCTTTGATGGCAGGCTGGTGAAAAAGATCTGGGTTCCTGATGTCTTCTTTGTGCACTCCAAAAGGTCATTTACTCATGACACCACCACTGACAATATCATGCTGCGAGTGTTCCCAGATGGTCATGTGCTGTACAGCATGAGGTAACAGTCCATGTATCATTCTTTTCTCCTTCCAGTGTCATCATACCAGCTCTGTTGGCCCTGATGAGTGTGTCACTATAGTAGGGTCTATGGGGTGACACAGCCTTTTGATGTCAGTCTGATGTCACCCCTGCAGATGGTAACTTCCTCTTTGCTGGGGTCTTTGACTTGAGTTAAAAGATTAATTTGGCCCATTGTTTGGAACAATGACTTTTTTCTCTTAGACTCTATGATTCTAGTTGGTTGCCAATGACAATTTAAAATTAGTAACAGTAGCTATTGTTTATTAAGTGCTGTTGCAGATTGCCCTTTGAGAGGACTTGGCTGACTCAAGGGTCCTTACTCCTAGCCTGTTGATGTGGTTCACAGGAATTAATTTTAGTAGCAGATATGCTCTTATCTTGGGTGGAGGATGACTCGGGCCCCACCTCACAGGCATCTCTGAGGGGGGCAGCCTGACAGCTGAGGTGGATGCAAGTGTGAGCAGTTAGGAGTCAACATCTCCACTCCAGTCACCAGGGGACAGCAAGCCCAATAAAGGAGATCCATCAGGGTGTCCAGAAGACAAAGCTCTAATTAGATTTCCATGGCTTAGATGCCTGAGAAAGATGTCTTCCTTGGGAGACCGATCGAGGCTGCCACAACCATGGATGATATACTGGGTCTTCCTAAGTGTGGGCAGAACCTGGGCTGATGATCCTCTCCCAAGCCAGCTCATCTCTTTGTGTTTTACAGGATTACCGTCACTGCCATGTGCAACATGGACTTCAGCCACTTCCCCCTGGACTCCCAGACCTGCTCTTTGGAGCTAGAGAGCTGTATGTATGCAGGGCTTTTATGTCTTTGCCTTATTTACTCTCCCACCTTGGGGCTACTTGAGAATTGTGAGGCTGAGGGCTATCACCAGTGTTAAGAACTGTTCCCTCTGGCATAGGGTTTCCTTGTTGCTTCCCACAACCAGAGGAGTCAGGGTCAAAGTTCACTTGTTTTCCTCTCCCCAAGATGCGTACACAGATGAAGATCTGATGCTGTACTGGAAGAATGGGGACGAGTCCCTGAAAACGGACGAGAAGATCTCCTTGTCCCAGTTTCTGATCCAGAAATTTCACACGACTTCCAGACTGGCCTTCTACAGCAGCACTGGTAGCTAATGACTGTCATGGCCAGACTCAAATGTGGGAGAGACACATTTGAATTCTCCAGCCTTCACCTCCACTTCCAACACATATAATATAGACTATTCGACTAAAGCATAGTCCCAAATAGCGCTTTTGAAAAGCAGGAGATAGTCAGCTGCTGTCTTCTGAGATCCCACCCCCAGAGGTGACACAAATTAGTAAACACCCTCAAGAAATCTTACTGTGGTTGTCTGATTCATAAGAATGGGGTGGTGGTTTGCATGCTGTTCTATGGCCTTAGATGTTCTACTTCACAGCTAAGCGAGGAAAAGTTTTTATTATCTACATCCAAGATATATTTTGTTTTCTTTTTTCTGCTGGAGGCTAGCCCAGGCCCTTGGACATGTTCAGTCCGTGTGCTATCACTGACTTACATCATCAACCCCAGTGGCATCATTTTTCAGCCCTTAGTTTAACCTCTTGGATCCTGGGCCACATCGGAACATTTGAGGGGATCCACCTGTCAACCTTGGTCTAGTCTCGCCTTATCTCCTCGGTTAGATTTTTTGAACTGCCATAATGAAGTTCTGGATGTTTGAAACAGCTGAGATTTAGACTGTCACAGTTTATTTGAGCCCATAGGTCTGAGGGCCATGTTCCTTCTGCAGGCTGGAGGGCAGAACCTCTCTTTCCAGCTTCTGCTGTTTTCCAGCAATGCTTGGCACCCGGACCCTATAGCTGTGCCACCCCAACCTACTTCATCCCCATGTGCTGTTCTCCTGTGTCCTTACTTGGTATCTTCCCTGTGTGTCCATGTTCAACTTTGCCTCTTCTGTAGGGACACCAGTCATAGTGTTGAGGTCTATTATAATCTAACATGACCTTATTTTGTCTTAATTACATTCGCAAAAACCCTATCTCTAAATATCACACTTGCTGGAAGTAGGAGCTAAGACTTCCATTTATCTTTAAATACAATTCAATAGTACCTCTGAAAGCTACTGGCTCCAATGGGACTCTTACTTCATCGTCCCTTGTCCCAGAGCTGGGATGCCCAAGCCCCTCTACGGAAAGCTTTTGTGTGCCTTCCCTATCCAGCATACTGTTCCAGATGGTCATCTGCCTTCCCCCAGACCCTATGCTCATAGTAACAAACACTGGAAGAGCACAGGCCTGTCTAGTGCTGTGCTGGCATCAGGACAGCCACAGGCCTGCTTCAGTGCATGCCCAATGTGCTCATTTTCAGCTCTTCCCTTTAGCTGATGTGCACACACACACACACACACACACACACACACACACACGACTTTCTTATCTATTCTTTGTAGTTGTTGTCTTCATTAATTAAAAACAAAGATGTACCTTATGCAGATGAGTGTTTTGCATGCATGTGTGTGTGTACCACATGTATGTAGATGAGGAGTGTTTTGCATGCATGTGTGTGTACCACGTGTGTGCCTGGTACCACTGGATGTGAGAAGAGGGCATCAGATCCCCTGAAACTCTGGAGTCATAGACTGTACATCACTATATAGTTGCTAGGAACCAAACCCAGGTACACTGGGCAAGCAGCCAGTGCTCTTAACCACTGAGCCATCTCTCCAGCTCTCTTATCTACTGTCCTTACCAAATCCAAAACAATGAAGCCACTGCTAAGAACTGTTTACATACCGTCTATTACATGCCACTTTGTATACGTGAAATAATTTCTACCCTACAAACCCAAGATTTAGATATTACTATTCCCTGATTTCAGATCAGGAAACTGAGACTTAAGGATTAAGCTATCAGTTCAACTTTCAGCGCTGTGAGAGGCCATGTTTGTTCCTTTAGTGGCCTCTGTGCTGTAAATGTGCAGTTGTCTATGTGTTTTCTTTCCCATTCAAGCCTTTCTGGAGCTCAGATTCAACAGCATCTTCCACTCCTGCTACTCACTATGTGCTACATACACACACACGTGTGTGTGTGTCACACAGGACTTAGACACAGTGGACATGTCATAGTCCTTTTCTCTATCCCAGTGTTTCCAATACAACTTCTTTGATTGTCCTGAATAGAATCAAGGACAATGGAATAGTTCTGAGTAGAGTAGGGGCAGCTCTCAGCTTTTCCATGGATACTCTTTGCAAACCTAATGAGCAATAGGATTTGTTTTGTGGATGCTGTTTGGAGTGGGGAAAACTGGCCTGATGGAATGAACTGATTGTTTTCTTCCTGTTCTTGAAGAGCACTTTCTGTTTGTTCATCTCCCTGAAAGCATCAGCCCTTTCAGACAACCCGGGAGGATACTCAGTAGCCAGGAGTCACGTCTGTCTGGACACATTCTATTGTTCTAGTCCCTTTCTACTGACCTAACCCTCCCTTCTCCTAAGTGCTTACCTCCAGCTCTTTCCAGACAGTCTGTCTGCTCCCCAATGTTTCTTGGGAGTTTCAGGGATGCAGCCTGAAGTTCATCTGTACCCACACTAGCAAAACAAGGTGCTCACAACCTGGGGCAATTTTGTGGAGTCAGAGCGGGGGGGGGGGGGAGGAGTAGCCTGGGAACAAGGCATCTCACAGACCTTGGGTGGATACAGAACTCAAAGGCTGCTGCTTTCTGGCCAGTGTGGTCCTCAAGTTGCATTCAGGCACTCCCGGGGAGCTAGCAGCTGCGTTTAACAAGTGGTTGATGAGAAGTGTCAGGATGCTCTCTATGGAACCTCACTCCTCCTCCTTGTGTCCCCAGGCTGGTACAACCGTCTGTACATCAACTTCACTCTGCGCCGTCACATCTTCTTCTTCCTGCTCCAAACCTACTTCCCTGCCACCCTCATGGTCATGCTGTCCTGGGTGTCCTTCTGGATCGACTACAGAGCTGTGCCTGCCAGAGTCTCACTGGGTAAAAGTATTTGATAAGGTGTGGTAGGATGCTTTTGACTTGCTTTATTTTTCAGCTGATCACTAGGTAATGGAGAATTAAAGTCATGATCTGGATATGGTGGCTCAATAAAGTAATCCCAGCACTCAGGCTGCGGCTGGAGGACTGTAAGTTTGAGGTTAACTTTGGCTACACAGAAAAAGACCCCCCCCCTTTTTTTAAAAAGAAAAAAAAAACTAAGTAAGTCTTTAGAAATCTTAACTGATGGGCTTGTGAGTTGAGGGAAGATTTTGCTGCTGCCTCTTGCCTACTCTAGCTACCTGAAGTCTGAGGTAGACTTGTAAGAAGCCCTCAGATTGCATCAATCCAAAGGTAGAGCCAATCTGGAGTATGAAAACACAGTATCGGAGCACAGTACTAAAATAAATGATTTTGGCAAATGCCAAAAAAATTTCTGTAAATTCTAAGACCTTTCTGGCTTGTACAATGGAGGCTGGAAGCAGGCACTAACACGCAGTTTCCGGAGTAAAAGCTGTGTTCTTTCAGAGCTGAAGCTCTGGCTTTTGTCAGACCCTGGATTCCAGCATTGCAATCCAGTATTGCAATTTGTAAAGTTGGAGTGGATCCTGACAAACGGGAAGACTTACCGGGCAAGCCACAGTGGAGAAGAACTGGATAGAGCTGAATAAATGTGGCTTAGTCTCTGTGCTTATTCCTTGAGAGGTATCCCTGAGTCACTGTTTTTAATTCCACATCATAAGTGGTCCCTCATGAGGCACGACATTGTCAGCCACATCACAGAAACTCAGACAGCCAAGGTGACTGAAAACAGGCAGTTGGTCCTTGGGGGTGACATTCCAGGAGGCGTGAGTCAGGGAAGGACTGATTGTTTAGGAAGCAGAGCCTTATACCTCAGCTGTGTGGAAATATGGCTGAGAAATCTCTCACTTGGTTTAGGGGGACAGAGAATATAAAATTGTGACTGTGAGGTGTGGTCCCAGCTCTGGGGTAGATCAGCAGCTGAACTGAGCTGGTTTTACAGGCATCATGACGGTGCTCACCATGTCTACCATCATCACGGGCGTCAACGCCTCCATGCCCCGAGTGTCCTACATCCGGGCTGTGGACATCTACCTCTGGGTCAGCTTTGTGTTCGTGTTCCTCTCAGTGCTGGAGTATGCAGCTGTCAACTACCTGACCACAGTGCAGGAGCAGAAGGAACGGAAGTTTCGAGAGAAGGTGAGGGGACCTCGTTCCTCTTCTCTTGTACGCTGGGGCTAGTGTCTGGACAAGAATGAGTTCGTCGGTTGGGTAGGGACAGTGAGGAGGGGCCACACCTCATGCCAAAGTGTGAACAATCCTCTCCTTGCCCTATTCAGACAGAAACTGAGGGTAGGAAAGAAGCTCTTTCAGTGCTGTTCTGTGGTAACCTTTGCACCCCTCAGCATTTGACAATAACAAGTGTTAGCAATGAGCAGTCAGGAGCCAAACAGGTGCCACCAACTAGAGCCCCGACCCTCAGAACTGCAGCTGTATCTTCTACATACACATTATAGTTTGTGGTTTCACCAGCCCCAATTTCGTTCTCACAAAAACAAGAAGCACTCTCCCCAATCTGAACTTATAATATACAAAGACAAGATGAATAAGAAAAAATGCTCAAACAAAGCAAAATGAGACAGGAAGTCTTACAAAAGTACTATTGAGTTCATTTTGTGTTGTCTATCTACTGCTTCGTTCAGTTAACCTCTTAAGACTCAATTTTCTTCTAGTGCCTTCTGTAGAACTGGATTGGTAGACAGAAATTACTTAAATTTGGTTTTATCATGGAACTTTTTTTTGTTGTTGTTTATTGTGAAAGTTTTGCTGAGCATATTAGTCTGGGCTGGCACCCGTGGTCTCTCAGAGTTTGTAGAACATCTGCCCAAGTTCTGGTTTTCAGAGTCTCCTTTGAGACGTCAGGTGTTATTGTGATGGGCCTTCCTTTGTATGTCACTTGGTCTTTTTGCCTTGCAGCTGTAATATCCTTTCTTTGTTCTGTATGTTTAATGTTTTGATTATTATGTGCCAAGAGGAGTTCCTTTCCTGGTCTTGACTATTTGGTGTTCTGTATTCTTCTTGTACCTTGATAGGCACATCCTTCTTTAGGTAGAGAGAAATTTTCTTCCATAATTTTGTTTAAAGGTTTCCAGGACCTTTGACCTGGGTTTCTTTTCCCTCCTTTATCATTATTGTTTATAGGTTTGGTCTTTTCATGATGTCCCAGATTTCATAGATGTTTTGTGCTTGATTTTTTTTTTTAATTTAACATTTTCTTTGACGGAACTTTCCATTTCTTCTGCCTTGTGTTCAACAACTGAGATTCTCTCTCCCATGTCTTGTAGTCTGTTGGTGATGTTTACCACGGAGGTTCTTGTTTCAAATCCTAAATTTTTCATTTCCAGTTTCTTCAGTTTGGGTTTTCTTTCATGTTGTCATTCTTTCACTCAGCTATTTGTGTGTTCGCAGACTTCAACATGGCGTTTATTTGTATCTTCTTGAAGGTCCTTGAACAGATTCCTCGTGGCTGTTTTGAAGTGCTTGACTTGTGGTTTAGCTATATTGCATTTCACAGGGCCTACTGTAATAGTTACTAAATTTAGTGGAGGTACATTCTCTTGGCTATTCATGTTCATGATTTTGTGCTGGAGTCTAAGTGTTTGGAGTTAGGGTGCTTGCAGTCATCTAGGTGTTGATAGCTGGTCTCATTTTTTGCTGTGGGGGCTCTCTGTTCTTTGGCTGCTGTTGCCCTCTGTGGATCCTAGGCAAGTGGTGGCTGTGGGTTCACTGGTAGGGTGCTTTTGCAGGTTGGCAGCCAGAAGAAAGGAATGGAGACGGGCTAGGAGAAGAGGCTGAGAGGGGCCGTGGGAAAAAGCTGTGGGGATCTGGTCCCCACCAAGAGACAATCTGAGGGGTTGGAGGTGTGGTGGAAGGAGAGGATCCTGCAAGCAGACAAAGGAGAAACAGGGATGAAAGGGTGAGGAGAATCCTGGGTCTGTACCAAGGGGTGGAGCCTCAGTGAAGGGAGTTGGTGTGGGAAGATGAGATCCTGTGAGCAGGCTACCACAGGATGAGGCATACCTCTCTCTGGAGAGAGTATATATAACAGAGGACAAGAAGGATACTGAGAACTGCTTCCTGGACTTTCAACCCAGTGTGGCCACTGGAAATAGCGGTCAGTACAAAGGACAGAGATGAACGAGAACTGAAGCCTGAGAGGGTCCTTAAGTCAGCCACAGAGTCTTCAAAATAACTGGTGCTGGCATAAGGGCATGCCCATCTGGGCATCAGACTGATGGTGCTTTTCTTTAAGGCAGTCAAGGGGTTAATAGAAAGGTGGCTAATAGCTGCCAACTAGGGCCTAAATCCCCACTCCACATCCCTTCTTATTTACAGGAAAACGGGATCAGAAGGAGTGCTCACAATAAGAACTTGTCATTACCACCAGTTATAATTTCTAACAGTCTTCAACACTTGCCTGGCACCTTGAAAGCTGTCCTTTCTCTTCCTCCAAATACACTAGGTTGCTCTTAACTACTAAGCCATTACTCCAGCCCACATTTAAATACTTTAAAAATAGTCTTTCTTTTTTAGACTTATTTATTTTATTTTATGAGTGTTTTACTACTATATATGCCTGTATACCATGTACATGCTTGGTACCCGAGTAACTCAGAAGAGGATGCCAGATGTCCTGGAACTGGAATTATGGACATAAATATTGTGAGCCACCATATGGGTTCCAGGCACTGAACCCGGGTCCTCTGCAAAACAAGGTCTCTTAGCCCCTGAGCCATCTCTCCATCCCTTATTCAAATATCTTTGATAATCCTTCACTTTTCTATTAAAAAAATAACTAAGCTTTCATCTAATTCTGTTCAGCTACCACGTTGGGAACAGTTTAACCATAAATAGTGTTTTCTGTGTGGAACAGCAGGAGAAAGTTGCCTTCAGCAACTGATCTTTTCAGCCTTCTGTCAGCACAGTTGGGCTGTTTTACATGCATCATAAGAAGTCTGAACGTAGCACAGTAGATACGAGCACTCCCTGAGACAGTGGACCTGAGTCCACACGTGCCTGTAACTCTAGTGCTGGGACAGGTGGAGTGAGGTAGCTTGCTGGCCATCCAGCCTAGCCAAAATAGTGAGTTTCAAGTTCACTGAGAGGCCCTGCTTCAAAACACAAGGTGAGGGCTGGAGAGATGGCTTCAATATTAGGAGTCTGCACTACTCTTGTAGACTAGAGTTCAGCTCCCAGCACTCATGTTAGGCAGTCCACAACTGTCTGCAATTCCAGCTACGGAGCAGCCGACCCTCTGGCCTCAGTGGACATCTGCTCACATGAACATACCCACACACAGATACACGGCATACACATGATGATGATGATGATGGTGATTATGATACCACCGTGGTAGCCAACATCTTTAAACCTGGCACTTGGGAGGCAGAAACAGATCTCTGTATGTTGTAGGTCAGTCTGATCCACAGAATGAGTTCCAGGCCAGCTGAGTGCTACATAGTAAGCCTCATCTCAAAATGAATGAATGAATGAGCGTTTGAATGAATGAACTGACGAGTAACACAGAAAGATACCCAACGACCTCTGCATGTGCACTCACGAGATTGCCTCCACCACAATTAATTAGTTATTTTAAAGTGCAATAAAAGCACTAAAAACCCTCAATTATTTTTATTTGTTAAGAGACAGGGTCTCTCACAAATAGCTCAGGCTGCCTTAAGCTTGTGATCTTTCTGCCTGTTTCTGGAATGCTGGGATTACATGCATGCGCTCCTATGCTCATTTATGACCCTTAACTCTTACATAAATGCAACTTTGAAATAGGGACACTCTTTGCTTTAAGTTTTTTTCCATGTTGGAGACAGAACAACCAAGGCCTTGCATCTTCCAGGTAAGTGTTCTACTACTAGGGACGACTCCAGCCTCTCCTAATCTTTTTACCCTTTTTCTTGATTCACAAACACAGAAGTAGAACACAGCATTAGAAACTGAGTGCATAGATTTCAATTCCTGGCTTAAGCACTCAGAGTTAGAGAAAATGTGAGGGTTCTAGGCAAGCCTGGATTGCTCAGTGAGATCCTATGTCAAACAAAATAAATAAAACAAGTCCTGAATCTCTTATCTGCTGTCTGTCTGGCTTCAGGAGAACTGTTCAGCATCTGCATCTCAGGTTTGACCTCTGAAATGGGGCTAGATAAGTGTTCTCAACTCTGACTGCACAGCTGTTATATAAGAAGATGCACACACGCACGCATACACACACACACACACACACACACACACACACGGATATGGATGAGGGATTACTCACAGGAGCAGAAATGACTCAAAGATAGCTGCATCACTAAAGCTCACCCCAGGTGTGACAGCTCACAGAAGTTGGACAGCACACAGCCGACAGGCAGCTCAGCAAGTTGAGGAGTGGCCTTTCCATGTGGCCCAGTTAATCTGAGTCTCTTCTAGGCAGCCTGGTTGGTCTTTGTTTTTTCCAAGTACTTCTCCTGGTCTCTACTTCACTCTTGTGGCTAGGTTTATCTCAGGCTTCTTCCTGGCTTGACTTGTCAGCAGTCAGCTCCTAAAATCTTGGAAGAGGACCTGATGAATCAAGTCAGTTTCAGGAACTTCCTGAAGTTGTTTTGAATTGTTTACTTCCTCTCTTAGTGGGCTTCCAGACAGAATGAAATGTTTCAATTGTGAGGAAACTGCTACCCAATAGCAGAACTATTTGGAAGTTTTGAGTGGGCCTAGAGTGGGTGTGAGTAGTCCTGGTGATTCTAGCATGCAGCCAGAGAATTACTGTACTCAGTGCTCTCTGATGTCCTTATAACTATGTCTCTCTGGATGCCAGAGTAACAATGGGTCGTAGCTCTGTAACAAGGCCTGCCCCCCTTCCCATCTTCAAGCTCTAACTGAGCCCTTCTGTTTGCTGCCTGCAGCTTCCATGCTTGTGTGGAATGCTTCATTCAAGGACCATGATGCTGGATGGAAGCTACAGTGAATCCGAGGCCAACAGCCTGGCTGGCTACCCAAGAAGCCATATTTTGCCAGAAGAAGAAAGACAAGACAAAATTATGGTTCATTTGGCCCTCAACAGTGAATTGACGTCCTCCAGAAAGAAAGGTCTTCTCAAAGGCCAAATGGGGCTCTACATTTTCCAGAACACCCATGCCATTGACAAATACTCCAGGTTGATATTCCCTGCCTTCTACATAGTTTTCAACCTAATTTATTGGTCAGTGTTTTCCTAGGGATTCTAAGGCTGTGTCTAGGAAAGGGCATGGACATCCGTTGGTGGATACATGGACCTAATCAATGCACTTCCTACACCAGGCCAAGCAGTTGCTCCTGGCTTGGAGGAGCCCAGGGACCTCCAGCTGTCCTCACCCCAGCTCCATGGTTCTTTTCCTAGTTCGTGCTATCCCATATCACACGTTTGACTTCCTGAACAGAGAGCTGTCTTCTGCTGTTTGTAAACTTGTTCAGAAGAACCCACCCTCCCAACTATCTACTTAATAAAAGACTCAACTGCCTTCCAGATGTTCTGAGATGCTCAGTATGGGAAGAAAGAAAACAAAGGGCAAACTAAGGGGGCATTCTGGGTAAGAAACTAGACGCAAAAATCTGTGAATTTATTCAGTTGGATTAAGTGCCTAAGTGGGAAGGAAAAACTCTCAGAACAGAGACAGGAAGTGATTTGGCCTACACAAAACTGGCAGCTGAGATGATTTTATAAATGCTAGAGGAAGCTATTCATTTCCCTGTTCATTCAATCATTTATTAAACACTGAGTTCCCACCTTGTGCCTGGAACTCTGGAAATGAATGTAGTCTTTCCCTTCTTTGAGCTTCTCTAAGCTCTGCACATCCTACATACACGATGTATTTCTGCTAACCTCCCCCCCCCAGCCCACCTCTGCCTCACTCATCCAAAGACCCTTTCCGTTTCCTCCTGTTTTTGCTCTAGGTCTGTCTACAAAAAAGCATTTCCAGGCTCCTGTGAGGCTCTCATGGAGCCAGCCCAGTGTTTCTCTCCTGAGACATTCTTATGGAATGAACTGAGGGCTGAGAGCAGGATTTGAGTATTGGAAAAACCCCGTGTGTTCTTGGATCTTCAGATACTTCCCCTGATTCCAGTTTCAGGCTTCTCCTCTTCCTCCTCACCAAAACAATATCCTTATTTACCATCATTATCTTTATCCCTGTGTCCAAGTCCAGTCCACCCCAGAGATCCTACCTATGCCAACCAGAAGGGTCCTACACTCTAGAGTCATTTCCCTTCTTACTTCTGTAAGTGTCTCTTTCTTGAATGAAGCTGAGTCACCCAAGGTAATGCGTATTAAGAAGGTAATCTGACTTATTTAGTTGACATTAAATTGTGGTAAGAGATTGCTAGAAAATTTAAGAAAAACTCTACTAGAATTTTGGGTAGTATAAATGCTATGATTTTAACAAGAAGTTCTTCCTTTAAGTCAAAGTTTCTGGAGTCAGAAGGTGAGGAGCAGGAGGAAAGTCCCCCTCCAGACCCTCGCTTACTGAAGGACACCACTTTGGCCTCTCACTGTTCTCGCCAGCTTCCTGTAAGGGACTGGGTATCTAGCCAAGAGTAGAACAGCGATCTGATCCACAAAGGAGAACAAAGCCTTGCTTCAGACTAAGTAAACTGTGGATTGTAGTCTGCTCCACAGCAAAGACTCTGGGGCAGGATCTGGGCCTGAGGACCAGGCAGGTGCACAGGAATACCAGAACCTCCATGAGATCCAAACCAGGGAGGGACTTGCTGAAGCTGTCTGATCCTCTCACCCCCCACCCCCACCCAGCGTGAGTGGCTCTCGAATTGATGTTCCTTCCCCAGGATCACTCCCCACTCTGTCTCCTGTATTTCCTTATCTCCTGTCAACTGGCTCTAGCTATTTGTCTCAACAGTCCCTTGCCTGTGCTAAAGATTTGTTGTTTTTAGCCACCAGCCTTGACCTCAGCTATAGTTTCTAGCCCACCCATTCAGAGGCTCAGTGATAGACTGGGATTCATAAAGCAGTGTCAGCCAGGCTTGTCCAGTTTCCACTGTCACCTGCATTACCTTGGGTGACTGCAAGCTCAGTAAGCTTCCAAAGGTTATCCTGAGATTTAAGAATTCTCTACAATAATGGTTCTCAATCTCCCTAAAGATGTGACCCCTTTATACAGTTCTTCATGTTGTGGTAATCCTGCAACTGTATGTTCATTTTCGTTTCTATTTCATAACTAATTTTGCTACTGTTATGAATTGTAGTGAAAATATCTAGTATGCAGGGTTCCTGAAATGTGACCCCTGTAAAGGGATTATTTGACCCCCAAAAGGGTCTGTACCCACAGGTTGAGAACATCTGCTCTAGATGGACTCATAGAACTCAGAAGAACCATTATTCTCATGGTTGCAATTTATTATTATTATGTAAGACTGGACTCACCAAAGAAAAGAGGTGTATAGAAGAGGGTACGGGAGAGACAGATGCAAGACTCTGAATTGTCCTCTCCCATTGGACCTATATAGATTGTGCTTGTTTTCCCCAACAAGGGACTCACTGTGCAGTGAGTCCCGCCCAACACCAATCAAGGTATACAAAGGATTCATGGGAGCTTGGCATAGCTGATTATGACTGCTCTTTGTCTCCAGCCTTTCTGGAAGCTGAGCAGGTACCTTGGGCACAGGTGCCTGACAGTGATTCTAGAGACTGGGAAGTCCAAAAACATGGACCTCATCCAATCTTGTCTTCAAACTGTCTCCTGTATTAGTTACTTTTGTGTTGATGTGACAAAATTCTTGGCAGAAGGAATTTAAAGGTGGATGAATTATTTTAGACCTTGGTTTTAGTCTGCTGTAGTACGAAAGAGGTCAAATTGGCAGGAACGTGTGGCTGAGGCTCCTCATATCGGTGGACCAGAGAACAGAGAATTTGGGCAAGAACCATAAGCAGATATAACCTTTAAAACCAACCAAGCCCTGGACACGTAGCCAGGCCACATGTCCCAAAGATTCCACAGCCTCCTGAAACAGTGCTACCACCTGAGACAGAGTATTCAGACAGGCGAGCCTTTGGGAGATAGTTACATTCAAACCACAAGACCTTTTCAAAGGCCTGCTTTTGGATACAATTATGTGCGTCTGGACACTGAATTTCTAACACATGAATCTTTGAAGGTCACATTTAAATCATGTGTTAGAGCCATAGCTATGCTTCACTGTGTGATGTGAATTTTGAAGAAGGAAAGAAAAGTAAGACTGGGTCCCAAGGAGAAAGTTGTCCCTCAGACACTCTTCACAGATGGGCATTTGGATAGAAAAACATGGGGCCAATTGCATGCTAAGTCTCTGCTAGGAGAAGAAAGAATTAAGTTTGTAGGAAGAAATAAAAGATGAGGATTCAGGTAACCTCAGACATCTAGAGCAGACTTGGTTTAACGCCAGAGAGGTGGTATCATGAGTCCTGGCCACACAATGATCAGGTCATAGAACCCAGTCTCTCAATGACCAGAATTTAAGAGAATGAAAATGACAAGCCCTAGGCTGGGGTTTTTTGTAGCCAACTTCGGGGAAGGGGAAGAGAGATTTGTTAGGGTAAAATGGGGAAGTTGGATATTCTTCTTAGAGAGGTTGTTTTTGAGACTGCATAGTCTATTGTGTCCTTTTATAACAAGAAAGTGTCTGGAGTTGGGGTCTGCTGCCTTTCTCCTACAATCTCCAAATAGCTGCTTCCTGGAACTTTTAAGTTCAGTGTAGGCCCTCGGCTTCTGTTTGTGGTAGTGGTTCATTCATATGCTCTCTGATATGGTAGCCATGAGGCACCAACATATTTAAATTTTAATTAAAGTTAAATAAAATTGAAAGTCAGTTCTCAGTGTCACTAACCATAGTTTAGCTCTATCCCCAATAGCCACAAATACCAGTGGCTTCCTTACTGGATGGTTAAAAGTTCTTTAGAGCAGTGGTTCTCAACCTTCCTAATGCTGCAACCCTTTAACGCAGCTCCCCATGCTGTGGTGACCCTCCCCCACACCATAAAATGATTTTTGTTGCTACTTTGTAACTGTAATTTTGCTAATGTTATGAATCATAATGTAAATGTTTTTGGAGATAGAGGTTTTCCAAAGGGGTTGTGACCCACAGTTTGAGAATTGCTGTCTTAGATGAAGGGGATTAGCCTGTGTGAACAGATGGGAGGAGGAAGGAAGCTTGGACATGCAGGGAAAAGGGCACATGGGCAGGTCATTCATTTCAGCTGATCCCAGACTGTGGGAAGGGTGCAGGAGAGCCCAGCTGTTCCATGCTAGGCTCATGGTAGGTCTCCACCACACCAGTGCCAATGGGGACAGCTCCCCTTCCGTGGACCTGCCTGGCCAAGGCCACAGGATTTTCCAGTTTTGTAGTTCAGCAAAGAACTATGTGTAAGTAATGGATCACTGCATGGTATAGGGCTTCTGGGTTTGTGGAGAAGCCTTTAATCTTAGTTATATTGTTGTTATATTGATCATTAGGCATATTGTTTTGGTTGAAAGTCTTTAGTGAAAGTTCTTTATTTATCCTCACATCACTATGCTTCTGACTATGTTGTCCTCATGAACTGTGGCTTACAAAGCTGCCTCTTCACAAAACAAAGACTACTTTCACTAGTAACTGGGATGAATCCTACAACAAACATTTAGAATCCTAAGTGATTCCGTTGTGTGGGACCACGACACTACAGTATTGTATTTTGCCTACTCATTGTGATCTAATGGTCTGGTTCTGCTTAAGAAAATGAAAGGAGACAGACTGGAGACAGGAGTAGGAGTGGATGATGGGGCCATGGAAACACTGAGGAGACAGGAATGAACCTGTGTTATCGGGCATTTGAATGGTGCTTTATTTCATGGAATCTGAGATATATTAGATATGATGGGATGGGATGTAGTTTAGAACCTGGTGGTTTATCTGTAGGGCCAGGTTTCCCTGGAATCCACCAGACTTTTGTTTGTTTATGCCAGTTTTCCACCCTACATCTTAAGCATTGCTTTTCAGTCCATTAAACCCATCCTTGAGAGCGATGTCACTGTACTTTACAACAGCCTAAGTGACTTATATGCAATCTTAGGGACAGGCCAATCCTGACTCCCATGGGCTTTAGTTTATCTCAATCACTCTCCTGAGACCCTTATCTTGAGCATTGTTTCTAAGTTAACAGAACCCACCTTTATGTCATCAGAAAACTTTTTTTTCCAAAATTGTGCTGTACTTGAGTGTGGCTAAAGTCAACTGTCTGGGGCTAGACTCCAGAAGTTTGTACCGGTGTCGTCTAAACCAGCCTGCACTGAGCTTCATTCGTGTCTCTCCTCAGATGGTTTCACTGTGGGCCATTATGTTTGCAGCAATGCCCCCCCCCCACACACAATGTGTCACTTCTGAGTCTTCATCAACAGTATCTATCTTTGGGGCTGGAGAGATGGCTCAGCGGTTAAGAGCACTGGCTGCTCTTCCGGAGGTCCTGAGTTGAATTCCCAGCTCCTACGTGATAGCTCAAAA